GCACAGGCTCCGACGTCACAAGCCGTAACCTCCGGTTTCGCTGTCTACACGATAACACTGCAACCGGAGTTTTTGAAAATCTTCACCATGGCAGGCGTTTTAAAAAATGTTTGGTTTCAGTGACCTGGTGCTGCGTTTGCGTGTGGATGAACAGCCAAACTGCGTAGAAAAAGTTTTAAAAATAACTGCGTTCGTGTGGACAGGGCCCAAGTCCTTAGGTTTTATCCCAAATGCAATTACAGGTAACACGCCACACCTGTTCCAGACTCACGCTCTGGAGGAAGCCAGATCATGAAACAACTCCACCTAGTGGATAAATACAAAATACCTTGGGCCGTAACGTATGGGTGCCCATTTTTGCCCACAAAGGACAAATTAAGGAGTTTTATTTTTTACCACTTAACTTTGTTGAATCGAGTAAAAAAAAAAAATTGTAGCGAATTAGCTCAAAAATGAAATATTTATAATTAAAGCTGCAGTCCGTAAGTTTTGCCTCTTTGTCGCCATCTCTGTTTGAAAACCTGGAATTGCAGCTGTGTGCGGAATTATCTAGCTTGCATGGGTTGTGAGTCGGCACGGCTCCAGCGCAGATGAATCTAATGTTCTGAAGCATAAGAGTATGTGTGGCAGTCTGCCACGTTTGTTCTGACCAACTGAGGGAAAAAGCATTACCATAAATCTCACTACCAATGGTGATTAAATCTAAAGATCGGTTAGCTCATATCACATCAAACCGTTAAAATTATTATTATTTTTATACTTTATTCTCAAATGATTAATGTTAACAACATCAGCATTGGTGACTATGAATATAGCGTGTATTAGCGTGTAGATTTCAATTTCTGCAGTCTAATCTAATTGTCATACTCCTCGAATTTCATATTAAGAAATTCTTTTAACCCAAAAAGCAAATTATGCTCCCTTCGAACTGGTTTTCTTTAAAATACAAATCTTTGTAATCCCAGGCTATCTGTAATCAGAAGCACATTTATAACTGGAATATAA